ACGCGAAGTCGCGTGCCGTGTAGCGATACTGCCGAGTCGCCAGCAAATTTGCAGGTTCGAACCGGTGACATCTAGAGTACAAGTCAGAGGATTGTATTCCTGGTTCAGTATATTTGATGGCTGATTGTGATTCCGCTTATACCATCTGTCTGTTGTGTTTCCGAAAGGTGAACCGTGCATTACACATGTTGCGTCCCATAGTAAAAACCCTTTGACGAGGGTTAACGTGCTGTGTAGACTCACGAGATGTCCTCTCACTACCACCACACATGTGGAGCGAACAAGTTCGCCATAAATTTTCGTCACTACATAACCTTAGGCTGGTGCAGGAGAAAAAAGAGTCAGCAGTACACCGGAAAGTCGTACTGATAATTCACTGCCACCACCAGGCGCGCGGGGCAGGGATAGTGTAAGGCAGCCCGCAGGAATGCACGTTCGAGCCGGTGACCCTTGGATCACAAGCCACAAGCTTGAGTCACTAGACCATCGGCCGGCTCGATAACATGATCGACTAGGAAACTTGGAGCATGCGGAAGAGCTAGTTCAATTAGAGTTTGATCAGACCACAACGTAACCGCTGACTTGAACGTCAGAGTGCAAGGCAATACTGCAAGACAGCCGACACAACAGCCTACGCCAAAATCATCACCAACAGCAGCACATCAGTTGTTTGAACTGATGCTTCGCTGCCACACAACCATGAGGACCTATGAAATAAAGAATAAGAAGAGGGAGAGAAAGGGGGACTTATAGGAAGACATTAATGTCCCAATCAAACATTCAGGGTCAAGGCGCCTACACCTTGTGTAAACAACATACCATCACAAACAGCTGGCTATCGTGCAAAGAGAAGGCGGCATCGGCGAGACAACTTTCTTGCGGCTTTCACTGCACCGAGTCATAATCGGCCATTACCCCTCAGATAACTCAGCACCAAACACACTTTAAACAGGCAATCCGATTAGGAGACGGCAGCAGACGCGCCACTGGTGTCTACTGCGAGCCATGTCCTGTAAAGTCTCCAGCCAAGCACAAGGCGAGTCACGTGGACCCCATCCCGGAAGGCGAGACGAACCAACGGCACCCAGTTTGGTCGTCAGTGACTTGATATCCCGGTGCCAAGTCAACTTCTGTCCACCTCGAGCCTTGCGCCATCCGACACCTGGTAGACTGAACAAGGCCCTCCTAGGTAAGCGGTGACCAGGCATGCGTAACACGTGTCCGAGCCAACGCAACTTATTCAGTGCTATCTGTTGTTCTAGGGAGCTAGCATGATCATCACCACCTAGTACTCGCCTACGCACATCATCGTTGCGGACACGCTGGTGCCATCCGACACTAGCAACGCTTCGCAAACAACGATGATCAAACACTTGAAGACGCCTCAGATCTTCAGACCGAAGGGGCCAAGTCTCACTAGCATACAGCAGAACGGCCCTCACTGTGGTCTTGTATACACGGCCTTTCAGACGGAGGGAAACTCCCTTCTGTCGCCAAAGATGACGCAGGTTCAAGGAGGTAGCTCTGGCCTTTGCAATGCGTGAGCTGACGTCAGCTTCTATGCGCCCATCATTGCTGATACAGCTGCCAAGATAAGTGAAATGATCAATCACTTCGAGTTCCTCGTTAGCAAGCGTCAAGGGGTCATCAAGTGGCTGGTGGTCCTGCAGCAACACTTTGCACATTGAAGGTGCGAAGTGCATATCAAAAAATGGGAACACTCTGGACAGACTATTCAGGGTTGATTGTGCCGCCCCAACATCGTCATAAAGCAAGACAATATCGTCCGCATAATTTAGATCAACTAACGTTTCACCAAGCAGCATTTCAACGCCTACATCGTGAGATTCCGCAAGGGAACACTGCATGAGAGAATCCACGACGAAATTGAACAAAAATGGGGAAATCGGACAACCCTGACGAACGCCACTTACGGTCGGAAAGCCATCCGATAGGCCAACGCAGACACTAACGTGGCCGGCAGTCTTCGCGTATAAAACACGTAGGATGTTCACATATTTCGTGGGCACACCTTTCCGCGCAAGTATTTCGAACAGAATCAATCTATCGACTGAAATGAACGCACTTTTAAAATCAAAGAATACAGCTATTGTCGATCTGCGGTATGCGTGACGCTGCTCTAGCACCTGCCGCAAATATATGGTCTATACAGCCATGTCCTGGGCGGAAACCTGCCTGCTCTTCCCTAATCCCAGATGCCCGTTCCACAGTGAGGCGACGAACGAGAATCGAGGCCAATAATTTCGTCACCACTGGCGTTAGGCTAATACGCCTGTGGTTAGAACAGTCGGTGCGACTGCCCTTCTTGTATATTACCACTATATTCGATTCACCCCAATTAGTCGGGACACTCCCTTCCAGATACATTCGAATAAGGAGGTCAGTGCTTTGCAGAGGACCTCACCTCCATCCTTAAATAGTGCAGGTGGGAGGGAATCCGGGCCAGCGGCACGAAAAGGCTTGAGGGCTGTGATCGCGTTTCGGACCTCAGCCTCCGACGGAGGCTCTAAACTAACCGTCCACGCATTGTCCTACATCACCTGAGTAGGAAGAGGTCCGGGAGCAGGGGGTCAGCTAAACTGATCTCGAAAGTGTTCCGCCCAACGAGCCATACGGCGTCCCTTATGGTGTATCATCGCACCCGCGCTGTCTCTGATTGTCTCACTGACGCCTGGTTTTCTGGGACCAGTGGTGCGGATTCGCCGGAAGAGCTTGCGGTACTTGCCTACTGCTCCTGCTTCCTCCATTTCTTGAGCCCGACTGGTCCACTAGGCTTCCTTGTCAGCACGTAGGCTCCGCTTTGGTTCACGCCTAATAGTCCGTCTGGGCACATTCTGCTCAGAGGCAGCCGGGAGCTTCCCTCTAGATTCCAACAGGCTCACACACCTCTCGGATATCCAGTGACTGCTGCGGTGACGATAGACAGTGTCACAAGCAGATGTTCCTGCGTCGTGCATAGCGGCCGAGATCCGATTCCACTGAAGCTCAGCGTCACTAGGACAACACAGCGAAAGTTCGGTACGCAGTGCGTCTTGATAGGCTTGCCTGACCGAGGGCTGAGACAATTTCTCAGTTGCCAATCGGAGGATACGCTTGGTGCGCCTCCCGGTAATGTTCATGGAGAAACGACAGCCTACAAAGGCATGATCAGAGCCGATGCAGGAATTCCATTACCAGCGGTAGTCCAGGTTGGAACCACGCTACCTGTAACTTATGGCAATGTGGTCAATTTGAGTTCATCGCTAGCCAGCCACAGTAGCACGCCAAGTGACACTTCGGTGCCCACTGTGTCTAAAAGCAGTGCTACCAAGAAACCACTGGTGCTCCACACACACTTTCAGCATGCGCTCGCCGTTGTCAATCTGTTCGGAGTCAAGCCCATAATTACCACCCAGCTGAGCTTCTGAAGAGCTCAGACGCCCTACTTGTGTGTTCATATCCCTTGCAAGTACTATAATATCTGAACTAAAAGCATTGCATAGTAGCGTCTTCAGTTCGTGATAGAATGTGTCCTTGATAGCATTTGAACTGTAGTCGGTGGCAGCATAAGCGAAACTCGCAAACAAGCGGCGTTTTATACTGCTTTGTGAATCGACCGTAGCTGATGTCGTCAAACGGACTGCACATAAACGGCTGTTCACTGGAATCCAATCAAACAGCGGTGGCTCAGCCCTGGAGCTTAGAATGATACCTACTCCAGCTTGACCAGCGAGTGCTGTGTCGGCCTCTCCTGGTGTGTGCAACCAATATCGAGAGCAAAAGCCAGGCGCAATTAATTCAACAAGCCCATTAGAGTCATTGATCCTAGTTTCGAACACACAGCACACATCAATACCCAGTGTGTCCAAGGTGCGTGCAAGTGCAGCCAGTTGATCTATTTGTCTGAGAGTGCGAACGTTGAACGCCGCCATCGAAACGGGACAGCGTGGCCTTATAAGGGACTGTTGCCGATAAGCGTCCGATAGGTGTGATGGGATGGTGGCTGCAGATGGTTCTACTCCAGTGGCACTTCGGTTGATGTCAATTAAGCTGGGAATTATATAAGGAAGATTAGTAATGGGGGTCGGGATGTGAGTAAGAGAAGGTGGAAAAATAGAAGGGAGGAGCCAGCAGTAGCGTGTGTTCGCTTATCTTCCCTGTTGTATGCAGCAGATAAGGCGACCCTTGATAATCTGCGCGACGGCCGATGCATGATGAAGTTTATGTCTGAATAAAACGAATGTAAGTGGCCGAGCGCTTCACGTTTCAAAGCACTGACATCACCCCTGCTGGCCAAATCGCTGCCCTCTCCCGTAACAACAAAACGGAGCACTCTGGATGGAACACGTATAAGTGATCAGTGGTCCAACGATCGGCCACATTGACTTAATACGGTGTCGCAAGAGTTCTCGTGGTAGGTGACGGGGGACCGCATGGTGAAACCAGAACTCCAATGCTCTATGATGTTTCCACCGATTGTTGGCCACAACTTACTCTTCAAGCCTATGAAACAAATGAGACCCGCTAACAGTTATCTTCACAAAACATCAACCATCCGCTTTCTCGAGATGATCCAGGCAGTATACAGTTCCACCGCGCCGTCACCAAGCTGTAAATAATTTGGATGAGTACAAAACATAAACATTCCTTGCGTTTTACCCTTTGATACAAAAATTAAACCAAACACTTGGATGCAAGTGAGTAAGTGGGCAAGTTGCTATGGGGTTCCTTTCATGGTGTGCAGGTGATATCAATTGCTATGGAGCTCATCTAGTTCCAAGGCAGGCATCGAAAAACATTTAGGGTAGTGCACATTGAGTTTAAAATATCAAGACGGTGGGGAGTTAGAAGATTTACGGATGGTCAGTCGAGAAAACTCGCAGTGACGGCTGCCAAGAAGAATAGCAACACTAAAAATAAGCAATAAGAACGATCTAATAGTCTGTGTAGTCAGAGATGTGATCAAATAAGTGAAAGAAATAACACGTGTTTACACTTACTTGTGTAAGTAATTGATTGAATAACTCCAGTGGTCTTCTGTATGCCAACAAAAGCAGGAGAAGATCATACCGACATAACACCAGGGGGTCTTGACAGAGGGTAGAGTAAGGAAACAAGGAGTGATTAGGCAAAAGTAAAGTACATAACTGGCAGAAAAAATAGCAAGACATCGACATAGAACGTCTTGGGAAGCAAAGAAGATTTTGGAAACAGTCTCCAAGCAACCACAAACTGTCTTCCGGAGCCAGTATAATTGAGGTGGCGGCTTTTCGACAGACAGGCCCCTTGCCAGACGTAGCCACACCAGTGATATCAAACAATCAAGATATTGTTTAAGAAAAATAAACACGTGAAATTGACACGGAATATGCAGCAGAACAGAACTGAGTAAATCAAGTAAAGTGGAATAATTTTAAGCAAGGTTATGATCATGGGAGTTTGGTCTCACAAGTTGTCCGCTATGCATTGTGGGATCTTGCTATATCCGAGAGAGATTGCAGCGATGCGCGATCGTGGTTCTTGTGCCCCCATACCGGGAGAAGAGAGCACCCGACCACGGCCAAAGCTGATGCAAGTGCTTTCATACTTTGAGTGCAAGTCATTCGTTGTCTAGCTTGATTTCGTTTCTAAACCAATTCTGCCCGTGCAAAAAGGGCACGATGAGGTAAATACCGAGCAAGCATGAGAAGCATACGCCCAAGCCATCGTAGCCTGCGCAGCAAAACTAAAACGCTGAGCGGTTGGCAGTCTATTTTGACGTGAAAGTCCTTCGGCGGACGTCATCACTACTAATGTGATGCTGCCACCGTACACCACCAATGCTCCGAAGGTAGCGGTGATCAAAACAGATCTTTTTTGAAAATCTTTTGCGCCAACAGGTCGTCTAGCAACCATAGAGTAGGTCCGCTTGCATTTGATATCATGGACTCGGCCTTGCAGAGAGAGGCTCAGGCCGTTTTGACGCCAGAGATAGCGGAGATTAGCGAAAGCATCCCGAGCAGTAGAGACGCGTAGATACCTCATCTTAGACCGTTTGCGCTAATACAGCTTGCGAAGTAAAAGAAGTTGTCTACAACTGCCAAAGGATGACGCAAAGTGGTAAGAAGCGTAGTTACTGGCCAGTCCTGAAGGAAGACTTTACATTTAGGTGAAGCGGTCATTCAAAAATGGGAGACGCATCAACAATCTATGTGGTACATTGTGGCAGAATGCGATAAATCCCAAATTACGGCGATGCTATCTGCATACCCCGAATCAGGAAGTCAGTCAACGGAAACGACTCAACGCCACTGGGTTCGCAATTGTCCAAAAAAGTATTGATGATGTCAACAATTTAGAAGCTAAACAGGAAGGGTGAAGCAGAGTAACTGTCTTACGCCACTGGTGACACGAAAGGGGGAGAGCGAAAGTTCGCCGTACACCCGCGTTCTGCTAGAGGTTAAAGATTAATTGGTTTGAAGAATGTTAACATACTTCTTGGGCACTTCCCTTCACAACATACAATTCCAGAAGACAGCTTGGTCAAATGAGTCAAACGCAGCTCGTATATCCAAGAAGACAACGATATTGGTCGAGAGAACGTTTGATGATTATCATCAACAGCAACATATCAGCCTTTTGTAATGATGCTTCGCTGACGAACAATCAAGGTGGCCAACAGAACGAAGGAAAATGTGATGGAGATGTGGACCCGGCGTAAAAAAATTAGCGATTTAAACAAACACTAACGGTCAAAGTGCCTATGGTTGGCGGCAGCCGGTTTCGGATTTGCCTGTCACTGCGGCCACCCACAGGACGCCTGCGCCTACAGAGGGGCCATGGGTGGCTTGCGCTGCACCACCCACAGCTACATCCATATACCCCATATCCAGTGTAAACCCGAAAGAATAAGACCGAGAGGCGCGTGGATGAGAGCCACGTTTTATCAACGGATCCGGCCCACAACATCACAGGCAAACACAAGCACGTTCGCGATGGCTGGATCGTAGTAAGCTCCACACTGAGTGCATGGAACTATTCTTCCAACCTAGGAAGGCCACAAGGACCGCGCACTCCGTCCCCTCCAGCAACGACCAGCTGTCTCATGGAGCCAGTATGGACGACGTAATGGATCATAGACAGGTAGGCACCATGTCAGCACGCACATCAAGCGCAGCCACACCGGTGATATGAAGCAACAGCCAATCCCTTGAAACGACGACATCAAATATAACAAATCAATAATGCATACAGAAAAGGTGACATAACTCTTCACTAAATGAGCATATGAAATAAATTGGTTGAAAAAATAGGTCAGAAGATAGATATTAAGAAAATGCCACAAACGCGAAAATGTTATCGAAAGTAACTACAGTTAGGTTCAACGTGTGCAAGTTTATAGAAGATATTACAGGTAGACATTAACATGGGAAAGAAAAGCGTTAGGACCAGATTGTAAACCCACTACCTGAAATAAATAGACTTAGCATGCAAGCACGCGGTTAGTAAATCGAATACAGCGTACCTACAAACGCTAGTCCTGCCTACGTTCTCTGCAAGACCAGTCATCGCTTCGGTGGTGGTCCCGAGTGGCCTCGCTCATGGCTCACTAGGCCTGTATGACTCAGACCCTCGCGACCGCAAATGCTACAGCACCATGCGCTTGACGTCGATTGAGTACACCCCATCGGCGCCCGTCGCTTCCGCAATTGCTGCCTCTGCTCTGGATGTATGAGGGCTTTCTCCTGCACCTCGGCAATGGCATTCGTGATCAAATCGCTTTCGATTCCCAAAGCCCTTCTAGGTAAGCGGTGACTAAACATACGTAGCACGTGCCCAAGCCAGCGCAACTTAATCAGTGCCATCTGTTGTTCTAAGGAACCAGCATAATTATCACCACCTAGTACTCGCCTACGCACATCATCGTTGCGGACACGCTGGTGCCGTTCGACACCTAGTTTCGAACACACAGCACACATTAATACCCAGTGTGTTCAAGGTGCGCGCAAGTGCAGCTAGTTGATCTATTTGTCTTAGAGTGCGAACGTTGAACGTCGCCATCGAAACGGGACAGCGTGGCCTTATAAGGGACTGTTGCCGATAGGCGTCCGGTGCGTGTCGCGAGAACACACCCGCTATACACTTTAGCTAGAGGTGGGAAACACCTCAGGTACTGTGCCGCAATACCTAAAAGAAAAGAGGGAAGAAAATGCTACGGGTGCAATCCAGCTGAGCTACCGGTAACGGATGGGCATCGTTCCGGAAAGGTATCAGCCGGCTACTATGATGCGGAAAATTTTACTTTGCAAAATTATAAAATGCTAAATAAGGGGGTCGTGATTGGAGGGTAGGCTAAGGGGGATGGGGTGGGACAAAGTAACTCACAGCACGAATGCCGCTGAAGTCGGCACCTATCCATATCAACAAGTGTATCCAGCCAAACGTTTTCATCGTCTTTCGGACCCCAACCAGAGAGCCGAGACGCTCCAACTGAAGCCAGCTTCGAAGTGAGGGCCTTCATTCCTCTCGACCAAGTCATCGATTGGCCACCTCTCCTTTTCTCCCATCCACACCCCCGGCGCGCAAACAATGCACGTCGCGGGAGTCAGTGGGCTGGCATGCGCAACACGTGGCCGAGCCATCGGAGCCTGTTGCGTGAAATAACGGTGCTGAGCGGTTCATATCCTTTTACTGTGCCGTAACCAAGGCGTCGAACACGCTCGTTGCTCACGCGGTGTTCCCTCCAGATGTGAGTCAAATTGCGAAGGCACCGGTGGTCGAATTAGCCTCTTTATGTCCGCTGATCTAAGGGGCCAGGTTTCACAACAGCACAGTAGGGTCAAACGTACTGCTGCATTGTACACTCTACCCTTCAGGGCGAGAGTGAAGTCGCGCCGCCGCCATAAGTGGCGAACGTTAGCAAAAGCGCCTCGAGCTTCTGCTATACGGTTCGTGATCTCATCTTCAACCCCACGGTCGCTGATACAACTTCCAGAGTAGTTGAATTTTTGTACGACTAACTGATCCCCACCAAGGGTAAGCGTAGGAGGCGGTCTAGACCAATCTTGGAGGAACGTTTTGCACTTTGATGGTGCAAAGCAAAGCCCGAAGCGACTGACAGCCAGTGATAATCTGGCCAATGCCGCTTGGCACGTTTGTGAGCTGTCACAGATTATGGCAATATCGTCAGCATACTCCAAGTCAAGAAGTCGTTCTCCTGGGAGCAGATCCACACCTTCTAAGTCGTGTCCTGTGAACGCGATGTCCATGACTTCGTCAATAGCGAAGTTGAAGAGTAAAGGTGACAGCGGACATCCTTGTCTCACCGCTGGAGATAGTAAAGGGCGACGACAGTTTGCCGTAAGCCCTCACTCTGCCTGAGCTGCGCGTGTATAATGATCGGATAATATTTACATATTTCTCAGGTAGACCTGTCCTGAGTAGACAGTCCCAAAGTGCACGTCTATTCGCGGAATCGAATGCACCTTTGAAATCGAGGAACATGACAACGGTGAGCCGCCAATATATGTGACGGTGCTCCAACAACTGACGCAAAGTGAAGACGTAGTCAATGCAGCCACGACCTCGACGAAACCCTGCTTGCTCTTCACGAATATAGATGGCACAAGTGCCAGTCAGTCTGTGAAAGATGACAGAGGCAAACAATTTGGAGGCGATGAAGATCAGACTGATTCCTCTATGGTTGCCGCATTCCGATCGTGAGCCTCCCTTGAAAATTGAGACTATGACGGAGCGGCTCCAGTCAGTCGGGACAGTTTTCTGCTCACACAGTTCCACTAGTAACCCGTATAAATCATCCACAGGAGCAGGTCCCCCGAATTTGAAGAGGGCTGGAGGTAGATCATCTAGTCCCGCGGCTTTATTTAACTTCAACAGTCCGATCTCACATTCGACTTCCGAGCAAGAGGGCGGATCCAAAGGGACAGCCCACGGAGCAAAGCGATCACTGACCGGCGAGAAATCTAACAATTCCGACCGATTAAATTACCTTTCATAATGCTCAGCCCAACGCTTGAAGCGTTTTGACAAGTTGTGGATAGGCTGTCCACTCTCGTCACGTATAGTTTCACTAACAACAGGTCTTCTGCT